TTTTTTTTTTTTTTTTTTTTTTTACCATTGGACGGTTGATTTTTCTGAGGATTCCGTTTTTGTGAACATTGTACAGCTTCCTTGTCGTCGCTCGACTTTGGTTTTTCAGTCGCTTTATTGGTTTAAAAAAAATGGGGTTCTGTCGAAGACTGCCGTACTCGTGTACATTAATGTACTCTTCCGTCAATTTACTGTTGGATATGTACCCGTCAGATGAGTGTATCATGTACACTTTTTTTTTGTGAACAAGGACGTTATTTAACTGATCAGTAATGATACTACTGCATTTCCTATTAATCACCCGTCTTCTTCTGCGGTGAGGAAAGAAAGATTGAACACAATAAATCCAGCAAAATCGTATTTTTCTAACTTTTTTTTCTGAAAAATTCGCCGTTTTTCTATTTTGCAATCATTTTCACTGACAATTTTATGAAACAATGAATCACATGTTTTCCATCTTCATCTGGAACTGTGCGAGGAATGAAAAGGGGAGTAACTTGAACTTTTACCCCGTCAAACTAGATAAGATAAGTTGCATTTAAGCGGGGTCAAGTTCATCACGTATGAACTTCTTCACTTTCTTTGTTCCGAGTCGAAGTACTGTACCAGGATACTGTATCTCAAACGATGAACTCCTTTGAAAGATACTGTATACTGTAAATGCATATACAGTACAGTACTAATATATTTATGTGTGTCTGTATTTGTAGATGAGTGAATTAATTCTAAAACCGAAAGTGTGTATGACTTGGGTTCTGCGTCAAATAGTATCTTCCAATGTTGATACAGTATTCATATTTTGCAGTTAGTGTTCCTCATTTTTTCAATATCCATTTCGATTTATTCCATTTGAAGTGTTTGGTTATAGACCATGGCTGTGTTTGTTTCACAACACCACAAGGTCAAATTCTTTGAAGTTGTCACCATCATCTCTATATCATGGTTTAAAATCTTAATTTCATGAGAACTGATTAGGTGAATTGTCTAGAGTAAGTTCAGTTGTAAGGGTTCTTTGAGTGGACAACTCAACTTATTAGAGTGTCTGCTTAATTTTTACGAACCGGAATAAATTTCTACTCTCCTTTCCAATATTTTGACTAGGATAGCCAAAGGCATGGAAATTAGGAAAATTAAATTTTCGAAAACAATGTTTGATTCAATCATGTAGTATTCATGTGCTCTTCTGGAACATTTTAACGTATAATTTCAATTTTTTTTATTAATTGCATGGATCTTGGGGAAAGATCCATGCAATATTGGTGCAGCTCAATAATTGACTACGTTATAAATTCTTGAACATACAAATTGAGTGGAACATTTTTTTTTTTTTCAAGTAAAATTTACCTGAAACTGTGAGGGATAATGACCAGAATCTTGACTCAAATGGAAATTCAATTTCTGTGCTTCTAAATAGTTTCTCTTGGCATTTTAAGTTTCGTATTCTGTCCACTCTCGAAATCCTAAAAAAAAACTGCCAAAGAAGTGAGAAAAATTAAACCGTACTGTTTGTGCTTAAATCTTACGGCGCTTAAAATGAACTTTGAACTTTTTTTAACGACTGCAGTACCCGAATGTTTATAAACAAAAAAACAAAAAGGCGCCAGTATAATACAAACAAATTTTAGGTAACTTTTTTTTACCTTGAAACGAGGGTTTCATTCTTGTAGAAATGTGTGTTTCGGAACAAAATTACACCGATACGAAGGGAAATGTATTTTTCATCGATATACTCGATGTGATGACGCTGTAAAATTTCCTCAAAATTTGAATGTTGAAGTTATCTTGAATCATTTTCCTTAGGAAACGTAAAATAATATGAAAATAAAAATATGAAACTCGAATTCTTCTGAAGCATTCGTCGCTTCGAAGTTCAGTTCATTATAATATTTTTCAACATTTGCTCAAAAATCACTCCTCTATTTTCGGTCCCACCCTGTATAAATAAACACCTGTGGGTAATTTTTTTCTCGTGTTTCTGTTGATCAATCGAAAAAAGGGAAGTTGCTCAAATTTCTGTTCTTCATCCACACAGGTCGCAGTACCTGACATCCTCGAAAGTGCCAAAGACGCGGATTATTTGGTATTCGTCTTGCCTCATCAATTCCTCCGATCGAGTTGCCAGCCACTGAGGGGAAAACTCAAACAAGGAGCCGTTGGCATTTCCTTGATCAAGGTACAATTATTTTTTCTTAATATTATTATTATTGAGCTTCGAAGTACCAAGTCATGCCGAATGTCACGTGCTCTGTCGTATGTGGAGCAACTTATTTTCGGCATAATAACCGCCCCAAAGGCCACACATATGTACATTAATTTTCTCCTACATACTCATTTGGCCTACGAAAGAAAAGTACACATGTCAAACTTACCAGAAGGAGTACGTGTTCACGGTGCACTGAAGTAAAGTTTCCTCTTTCTTCTATTTTTTTTCTTGTCCACGTTTCTCTGCGTGGTCTTCGAGAAGTATAGAAACTTGGCTTCACGCCACACTTGCCCTTGTCTCTTGCCAAGAAATTCTTCACTTCGAACTTTGAGAAAGGAAAACAAAAGAGTTTTCTATATCATGCCTCCTGTTTGAGAGAGAGAAAAAAAACAAAGAAAGGAGGCATATTTCGTTTGTTTCTTGATTTTCCGGAAAAGTAAGTCGCGTTTTCAGCGCAATGATTTTCATTGCTATACGTGGGGCCTCGAGATGCGGACGTAATTGGTGAATGTACCTTTTTCTTATGTGTTGGAACGTCCGCATGTTGGATCATGTTTTCCCATAGACTTGAATGAAGACGTATATTTTACTGTAATCGGTTCTCTTGTTTTATCAAAAGTGAGGAAAGAAGTCTCCCAAAAAATTGAATGATTTCATTTTTTTCACCTTCAGGATACAGAAAATAACTGAGCAGAAGAAAACCAGAAAGGAACTGATATTTTGGCATGAATAATAAGGGCCCAAAAAGCAGAGAACAAGCACAAATTTTGCTATAATGTGCGCAGATGATGGAAAAATGCGCACAATTATCCTATTTTGGACTATAAATTGCTGAAGAGAATTCATAATGTTTTATTTTTCGGAATAAAGAATTGCGAATTTGATCATGAGATATCAAAATTTTGGATATGTTTTATTGCGATGGACGAAAGTTTTCATGAAAAATATTGTGTACTTTTTTTAAAACAATTCTCCAAAATTTGCTGAACCAGGGTAATATGTAGACAAAAGGTGGGACGACAGGAAGTTGAAAGGGAACTGTGAGGAAATGATGTTTACCTTCCCGAATACACGTATTTTATGAGGTCGCGTTTGGTCTATTTGATGCCGAAAAAAGGGCAATAGCATTCATTAATTTTATTGGCTTAAATGTTTAAAAATAAAAAAAACCGTGTTTCGAACATAAATTTATTGATCTGAACTGAAGAATTTTTTCTGGCTGTGAAAGGCGGCTCCGATTTGATAAAGAAAAAGTAGCGGAAATCACGGCCGCAATTAAATATGGCTCGCAGCAAAAAATATTATTTTTCATGCTTTTTTTTATATCCGAAGAAGTTTGAAGAAATCTTACTCAAAGGAGTCAAAGCTTTCGTACGCAAAAAGTACAAATTTTTGTGGACATTTTCGAAACTGTCAATTTCTTAGGCCAAGAAAATTTGTCGCAGTTGGTGAGAATTTACTGTAAGTTCAACTGCTTTGAAGTGAAGTCAAAGTTGAAAGTTTCCTCTTCAGCAAGCCTGTGATGAAAAAAGTACAGTGGGAGAAATGCCCCCAGATGCGTACATATTTGTTGCATCAAGAGTGTCCCTAAGTTGAGTCTTGTATTCCCATAGACTTACATTATGTAATTTCTAATTGGATTTTTTATGGAAGAAATATTCTTCAAAATTCCATGAAGAAAGCTTTGTTTGCCACTTGAATTTGCTTCAGTGAAAATCTTTTCAACCCAATAAGAACATTTGGAGCATTGAATAATGTATATCTGTACTGTACATTGAAATGTTGACAGCTACAAAAATAACATTCAAGTGGAATAAGTAGAAGTCCCTCCATGCTGGAGGTAATTTTTTAAAATTAGCAAAATGGATGGTAAATTGATGAGAGAAATGCCCAAAAACTTCTCTTACATCAATTTTAGGGTTGGAAATATCTGTTTCTTGCAATTCAGCCTGAAATGAATTTGCAATCTTATCACGAAATGTCCCTATGATTAGTCAGTGTCCTCATGTCAGGCCTTTTTTATGAATTTTTTCTGCAAAAATAAGTGTCCCTATGTACAATTGTCCACAGGTCAAGGTGTCCGCATGTGGTGGTCTCACTGTAGGTAATTTTTTAATTTAGCTTAATAGATGGGAAAAGTATGGGAGAAATGACAACGAATTTTTCTTTCTTAAATCTCAGGGTTGGAAATATCTGTTTCTTGCAATCAAGCCAAATGAAAGTCAATTTTGTGAAATTTATTGGCAATTTTTTCATGCAATATCCTCATGTCGAGTAAGTATCTGTATGTATGTCTGGCCTTTTATATGCCCTTTTCATTGAAAAATAAATGTACATGTCGAATTGTCCTCATGTTGAGGTGTCCGCATGTGGGGGTCTCACTTTCATTAAAAAAATCTTCCTGTATATTGTCTTGGTGAATGATCAAGAGAAATGAGTGAGTTGCTGGGGTTTCGATTAGAATCGTTGGTGGGGGTTTATTTTTTCTTTCGTCTATGGTTACCCGATTATCCTTATCTACGGACAAGATATTTTAATGTTGGTCCGGTTTGTTATACTGTACTGTACTCATTCTTTCGTTGGAACGCAAAAGGGCTTCGACTTGAAACCCGAAGGCGGCATCCAGCTCATCAGCGAACTCATCAACTCCTTGCTGGGCATCGACGTGTGTTGTCTGATGGGCGCCAACCTGGCGCACGAAGTCGCCGCCGAGAAATTCTGTGAGACGACGATCGGTGAGAAGATAAAACATGCGCAGAGGCAATTTCCTCATTTTTTTTTTTTTACTGTTGAACCTTAACAACTCAAACATCCCTGCGTCGAATTTTTCTCATTTCTTTTGCAAGTTTTCCGCGTTGGTCAGAGGAGAAAATACTCTGCCCTGTATGGCATTTTCCTCATTTTTTTTTTTTTTTACTGTTGAACCTTAACAACTCAAACATCCCTGCGTCGAATTTTTCTCATTTCTTTTGCAAGTTTTCCGCGTTGGTCAGAGGAGAAAATACTCTGCCCTGTAGAAAATATCCCGGAAAATAAGAAAGATGCTATGTTACCTTTGCGTATCATTGCAACAATCGATTGAGGTACAGATGATCATCTTTTTTTTTTTAAGGATCTCCTCTAAACGAACAAGCGTCATTATCTGTGCAGAAAATATTTTTAGTGTTCCTATTATTGATGCATGAGGAGCTTTTGTAATTAAAATTCGCTCTGTATGTCAGTGAATTAACTTCAATTACAGTGAGACCCGAAGATGCGGATGTAATTGGTGCTTGAACAGTGTCCCTATGTTATTGGAATGTCTACATGTTGGACCTTGTTTTCCCATAGACTTCAATGGGAACTGATTTAAATGGTTCTCCAGTTCATGGAAAATCAGGATTAAATCACCAAAAAATCAAATAAAATATGTTTCTCAACTTAGAGGTATACAGAGTAATGTTTATCTATTCAGAATAAAGAAACCCACACAGAATATGATCCTCATACAAACAACAAGTATAAGTCTTTGGCATTTTCCTCATTTTTTTTTTTTTACTGTTGAACCTTAACAACTCAAACATCCCTGCGTCGAATTTTTCTCATTTCTTTTGCAAGTTTTCCGCGTTGGTCAGAGGAGAAAATACTCTGCCCTGTATAGAAAATATCCCGTAAAGTAAGAAAAATGCTGTGTTGACTTTGCGTTTTATTGCAACAATTGATTGAGGTACAGATGATCATCTTTTTTTTTTTAAGGATCTCCTCTAAACGAACAAGCGTCATTATCTGTGCAGAAAAGATTTTTAGTGTTCCTATTGATGCATGAGGAGCTTTTGTAATTGAAATTTGCTCTATATGTCAGTGATTCAACTTCAATTACAGTGAGACCCGAAGATGCGGATGTAATTGGTGCTTGAACAGTGTCCCTATGTTATTGGAATGTCTACATGTTGGACCTTGTTTTCCCATAGACTTCAATGGGAACTCATTTAAATGGTTCTACAGTTCATGGAAAATCAGGAATAAATCACCAAAAAATCAAATAAAATATGTTTCTCAACTTAGAGGTATACAGAGTAATGTTTATCTATTCAGAATAAAGAAACCCACACAGAATATGATCCTCATACAAACAACAAGTATAAGTCTTGCTATTCTGTGCACAGATGATAGAGAATGCTTAAAAAATAAACACAAAATTAACCTGTTTTTGATTATAAATTCAAGTAAATATATGTTGATACTCAGTTTTAACTTCTGTGAATATAAATACCTGTAGCTCAATTTGTTCTAGAGATATTCAAAATTTGAAATTTTCTAGAAATGCTGAAAAAGTGTACGTGTGTCAAGATATTGTCTGGATGTTGGGCCAAATTTTTTGAATTTTCAAGTGTCATGAAGTCAAATCCTTCATATGTTGGGGTGTCTGCATTTTGGGGTCTCACTGCATTGTTGTTGTTGACAGTCCACTTTTATTTGAAATCATGAAATTCATTTTTTTAATACGCTTGAACCGCAATAATCAAACATCTCCAAGTCAAATGCCTCCTGATGTTATTTTGTTTTGAACCCCTTTCTGAAATTTCTTGGAAACATTGCATTCAAACCTTCCTAACTCAAATACCGTACCTTCTGAACCTCCAAACCTTCTGAAAATTCCAACATAAGGCCTTTTGGCTTTTATTTTATTGACTCCAGGAAAGAGAAAAGCACTGAAAATGTAACTTGATGCATTTTGTATAAGGAAGTGAAAGACTAATTTGGCAAATGAACCCCCCTTACCTCCAAGTTGAGCATCCTGTCAACTCATTTCAAAAAGAAATTTAAGGCCCAGAATATCACCCATCACAAGTTCCTTTAATTCTTTCTTCTCTCCCGGAAAAAAAGCGCTTGTTTCCTTAACTTGGAAATTTACAAACTCGATTTATTATTATTTTTTCTTGTCCCTTGAAGTTGAGCACGAAGATGTTCAACTGTATTTTAAAATGCATGAAAAACACTGTGAACCCTGGTTTACCTGAATTTATTTCACTGTATTTTAGGTGTGCACACGGACGAACAGTCGCTCATTTTCAAGGACCTGTTCCAGACTGATTTCTTCCGGGTCACGACTGTGCGAGACGCAAAAACTGTCGAAGTCTGCGGTGCTCTGAAGGTTTGCATGATAAATATTCGTGTTGGACACTGCAGACACATTTTATTTTTCAGAACTACACGAGAGAAGAAACGGGAAAATCTTATTTTTGTTGTTTGTTTTAACCATGAAACGTTCATATGATTGAGCTGACAATTATTGTTGAGGGGGGAAAAAATTCTTTGGCACAAGAAAAACAAAATTCGGTCCTGTTTAAAAAAAAATTTATCTTGTGCGAATCATTCTGGAAGCTTTCTGCTTTTCACTCAAAATATTAGGCTCCCATTTTGCATTTTTTTTTTTTTTTTTTTGTAGCCCAGCTTTGCATTCAGAATACTTGAAATCGACTTGGCATTAATTCCAAGGGTTGCCCCCAGATTATCTTACTACAGGTCATTCCGTCATTTTCATCATTGCCGCCACATTCTCATCCCGAGTAACGGCGGCTTTGAAGGCGGCAGTTGATGAAAAATGGTGGAATTGATGACCAATTAATGGCGGCAACCGTTGGAATTAATGTCTGGGGTACACCAACAAATCTTTGGAATGAGAGCCGCGTCTCTTGAGTAAAAAACAGGAATGACTTTTGCAGAAAAGATTTTTTCATGTCTGAAACAGGGCTGAATTTTTTTGTCTTGTGTCAAAGAATTTATGATTTCAGACCAACAATTGTTTTTGAGCTCAATCGTTGTATGATGTTTCAAGTTGTGATCAGATCACTTTTTTTTGGCCCCTTGTATGTAATATTCGAACATGGGACAGTCAGTGTCGTCGAAGATAATCGCATGAAATAGTTCGATGCTTATTAAAAAAAAAAAAAACAAGGTTAACTTGAGCCATTCAAGAGAACTTGATGGTTATTCCTTTTTATCCCAATACATGGGTCTTCGCAAGAATGTTTTAATGAACTTGGCCTTTCTCATCGGCGGGAGTGCACAAAGAATTCTTCTCGTTTTCTCCTCACGTCCTTTCACTGATCTGAATACTGTACCCCTCAGCATTTTTAATGAACCGTCTCCGAAGTGGGCGTATGATGATCGGAATTTCGGAAAAAGACACACGAAAAAAATGCACTAATGTGCAGGAATTTCAACAAGTTTTTTTTTTCGGAGAATTTTCGGATATAGCTTATGGAGGAAGCTGAATTTTCATATTTTTGTGCCATTTTGAAATGACTTGTACGCGGAGGACTTGAAATTTTGAATGTGGAAAATTTTCAGAATATTGTAGCTTGCGGAGCGGGTTTCGTGGATGGTCTGGGATACGGAGACAACACGAAAGCTGCTGTGATCCGGTTGGGTCTGATGGAGATGATCAAGTTTGCCGAGTATTTTTACGCGGGCGCCAAGTTTAGCACTTTCTTCGAGTCCTGTGGAATTGCCGATCTGGTGACCACGTGTTACGGAGGCAGAAACCGCAGGGTTTCCGAGGCTGTGGTTAAAAGTGGCAAGGTTGGTTGCGCTTTTGTCATGTGTCCTTAAAAATGTTTTTTAAGGAGCATGTGATTTCTTGAGGAAAAATCCCCGATGAATGCAGGCACAGTCTCAAATTTCCCATTCAAATTGGGACTGTGACTGTTTTTTGGGCACATAAGGTGGAATCAAGGATAAAAATTATTCAAAATCCACGTGAACAATTTTTCTTTTTGAAGTTTTTCCTGAGTTAGGAAAGATGTTGGGAGGGGAAAGAAAAATTGAACCCAAAAAGGGTTTGTATGCTTGGAAAACCCTGTGCTGATCCCTAAAAATTGTTAGCTTTTTTGGAACATCCAGCAGTCTTATAAATTGCTAAGAGAAACGTTAACAGAAAGTGCTGTTGTAAACCAGTTATTCAGAGTAAATGTTTGTGATCAGCATTTAAACTTCTTTTTGAAGATTGCAGTTTTTTAAATGCCAAGAACAGCTGAAAAGGTTACAAAAGGATGATGTTAAATTTATGCAGGTTTAATTTTTAGAAAATCTCCCAATCAGATGAAAATTGCAATAATATTACTATAAAAAACGTTTTCTGAAGTCCCCACAAGCTTTTTGTGACAAGATTTCACTGTATTTCATACAGTGTGGACCCTTCATTAGCAAATTTTTGTTCTTGAAGAAAAATCCTGTTTGTGCCAAACCAAAATTTGATTGAAAAAGTGTTTTCCAGGCAAAAAAAAATCCGAATTTGGTTATGACACTGAATTCTGGGGTAGTGTACAATTTAATTGAACGTCCAGTGGACAATTGAAGCAGAAAAATTATTTGGGAAGACCAATTGAGTATATAAATGAGGGTGGGCCATGGATATTATATGGTTTGAGCAGAATCAATTGAACAAATGTTATCCAGCTGTAAGAAGCTGTGGATATGAAGCCATTTTCTAACAGACATTGCTAATTTTTTTCCCCCTGTTCAACTGCTGTTTTTTTACAACATTGTAAAATTAACATTTGATTTTCCAGTGACAGTTATTAAACCTGTATGGGAATTTTTTATGGATGTGAATAACTTTTTGAGTGTTGTTTCTATTAACCATGCTTCCATCATCCACCCCCTACAAAACATATTTATGCACACAGGATGCTACTGAAAATCATTTTGATCAAATATGTGTCCTGAATTTTTTTCAATAAATTTTCAATTGCATTTTGGGTGCCACAAATGGATTCATTGGTTTTCCATGGAAGTGCATTATATGGAAAATCAAATTTGCTCAACAAATTTTTGTCTGGAACCAATTAAGTTTGTTAACCAATGGTCCACTGTACAGTATATTCATGATGTTCAGTGCATTTATTTTGATGAAATTCTCCATAAATTTGTCAGTGCTTTTACTAACCTGATTTGTCTTAGTTTTCATCAGTGTTATTTGTTATAGCAACCATGAGATTATCTTCTTTTGTACAACATAGGTATCACTTGAATCTTGATAACTTGTTGTTCCTTCCATGTTAGTTAGGTTTTACCTTAAGTTCAGGCGACACCTGGTTCTTTTTTTTTTTTTTTAAATGAGCTCCGGACATTTCATGGACTTCCAAGAAAGAAAGAAAAATCTGTACTTTATCTTGACACAGTTTAAAACCCTGTTGATGTAATGTACTGTGCAATGTCTCATTTTTACCATATGCACAGAGTATCAAACAACTTGAAGCTGAGATGTTGGATGGTCAAAGACTGCAAGGCCCTGAAACTGCTCATGAAGTGAACGCTTTGTTGAAAGCTGAAGGGCTCGAAGCCAGGTGAGTTCAATAATAAGCAGCACTGCAATAAGTCCTGAATTAATTTATTTTTTAATTCAAAGATGGCAAATCATTGAATCTTTTGATGATCTATGTTGCAGGTTTCCCTTGTTCACCGCCATTCACCGCATTTGCGTGCAAGAAATCAGTCCTAGCGAAATGATTGAATGCATCAGGATGCATCCAGAACACTTGTAAGTTATTGTGGTTAAAACCCCTTTTTGCATTGTTTTTTTTTATTATGTGGACGGAAATTTTTTTTTAGCGTATCGTTTCCTTTTCTTTTTTTTTATAGACCATTTATGAGTATTATTGGTTATTTTCTTTCTTTTCACATTGACAGGGTTGAGAACCCGTCTAGGCATGAAGAATGATGGATGTCATCTTGTCTCAAGATGTAATGTTCTGTAAATGCCTTTCAAGTAGGCTAGTTTTTGATGTACATTAGCATGGCAGTTTTGCTTGAAGACTTACATTTTTCTAGTCATTTCGTTGTGTGTTAGTGTAGTACAATGCATTGTGATCTCAATTAGTTTTCTTTAAAAAAAATCACTACAAATAAATGAATTATGCATCACTTTTGTACCAGCTCCTGAAAATGAAAACAGTGTCTTCAGAAAGCTACATGCATGTGCCAGTTGAAAGCATGGGAGGAGGGAGTGTGCAACTTCAATTGCACACTAAAACTTAAAATGTTGAAAGCTTCCAGAAATGTAGTAAATCACTGACTTATTCTTGTATTTTTATGCAGTCTGCAAGCATTAAGCAAACAAATTTAGAAGTTTCTTAGAACAAAATAATGACCATACTTTGTAAAACTTTCTATCCAGGAAAATTTCGAAATTTTGCTAGATACATCTTCAGCTAAGGCAAATTTGATGGGATGGTCTGAGGGCCAGTTTGAAGGCCTCCGCGGGCCAGATCTGGCTCTCGGGCCGTATCTTGGACACCCCTGGTGTAGAGCTTTGAAACAATGCCCCGATCATGCAGTTCAGAAGGAGGACTCTGGAAGGTTACTTTTACTTCTGATGTTTGCAGGGTTTATGCTGGAAAAGGTTTGAAGCTGGAAAATGGGGAAAAATTACGATGAGAAGGTTGCTGTATATGAAAAGATGGATTTTAATTCACATTCCTTGGTCATTAAATCTAGCGTTTAAACCATTTGTTTTTCTCGATATTTTTAAGAAATGGAGTTTTTCAACGAGGACTTATTCGCCAAATGGCGTGAGTGGAAAAGTACGTAATTCCTTCGTGTCGGGGACATCGCTTGTCTGATGCTACAGGATTGCATGAATGATGGGCATACGATGGTTTTTTTTTCAATCTTGTGATGAGAGTGTTTTAGTGAATGCCTATTAGTTTATTTTCATTTTTTCTTCCTTTTTTTGCTGGATTTTATGGCCATGTTTTCCGTGTTTTTGCAGGGCGTTTGACAGGAGAAGGGTGAGCATCGAACGAGACGTGGTGAACCAGTACGCGAGTTGTTTGTAGTGAAATCCAGAAGGAATAATGACGACGACGCAACGATGAGTACTGTATAGGTGAAAACCTGAGAAGAGGGACAAAAAATGGTACTGTATACTCGGATGCAACAGCCGCTGTGTATATGAAAACACCCGACATTCAGGTTTTCGTTGACGTTACGTAGGTGTCGCTGGCATTGCACCAAAGTTTAGGAGTATAGGTTGATATGTGTAGGGGGCTTATATACAGGAAGTGTAGTTATGTTACAGCGATGCCGGCAACATCTACGAAACATTCGAAATATCAAAAATATTTGAATGGAAGTGAAAAGTCGTGCACTTGTTGAGCAAGAATGAGTCGCTGATTTTTTATTTAATGTCTGGTCGCGCACAAATTAAATTTCGTTTATATTAGCCCACGTTTTTTGATATTCTATGTTTTGTTTGGTTCATGTTTTCCGAAAAGGAATTTTTGCCTCATGCAAAAATCAGTTCATCGAATGTCAGTGCAATTTTTTGGATGGGTGCTGTCTTTTTTTTTTTTTTTTTACCGGTGTGGGGGTTTTTCAACAGTCCTGTACATCATCTTTAAAATTGTTATCGTTCGAAGTCGAGAACGCAAGTGTTCATTTTGTTTCGGTGATTCATTGTCGAGCAATAATGATGATGTCCAATGTTTTATGAAGTCCGGAAAATGAGGGATTGTTGGGAATTATTGATCGAACCCTCGATGTTGATCTGTTCTAACTTCTATGCATCACGAAGAAATTTTAAAAATGCATCTTCATTCAATAAGATAGCTTGGCAGTATTTTCCCCCCAAAATTTCCTTGAACTTTTTCATGTTTTCTTCGTCTTGAAGTGCCGATTTTCCTGCTACAATGATTTTTGTCATTTTTCTTAAAATTTGTCACTCTGTTCGCGGAAATTTATAAACTTTTTGGTTGTAATAAGTCAATCAAAATCTATCCTTATCCTCATCGTAAGGAAATATTGTCGTGCACATGAGTTGATTTACAAACAAATCGACAGGAAGGGGATAAAAGTTTCAAATCAAGAGCAATACCTTTATGAAATTGAAAAATTAGATTTCATTCATTTCCAGTCACATATTGTATACTGGCAGCACCCTTGAGGAACCCTTGTTTTGTACAAACCTTTCCTTCGGCAACTCAGGGAGCGGGTTTAAAAATGTTATCGCACAAAGATGACTTCGGCGTTTATTTGAGCGGAATATTCATCAATTTCTCTGCTGATGAGCAGTTTTTTTTTTTTCATTTTACAGGAATGAGGGGAATTTTATTTTTTAGTCTTGCTGCAAAGTGCAGTTTCCATCAGATCCATGTAGATGAGATGCAAATCTTCGCGGATCGAAAGAATGCCATGAGTTATCTCTCTCATATAGACGTCTCTAGTCAGGGTCGTGTGCTGTTATTTCGTTTCTTTTTTTTTTCTCGATTAGAAGGAAAAAATTCGAGGAGTTGTTTTCGGTGCAATATTTGTTCTAGAGGAAGAGCTTCTTTTTAAGAAAAAAGAAGGAAAAAAAAAACTCCTGTTGAAATCTGTAAGCGGCGGTTGGCATTGCTGAAGGTGTGTCACTGTATACTGTACTTACACGTTATGTTGTCTAATCCAAGATGGTGGAATCCTAGTTTTTTTTATTGATTATATTGCCTGTGTTATCGGGATTTTTGTGGAGTCGAGAAGATTCTACAGTACGGATATTTCCGGGGAAATGGGTTTTCAGAATGAGTACAGGAAAGTTGTTGCAGAATGGAATAAAGTCTTTCTCCCGTTGGTTCTTGTTCCTTTCATCATTTCTAAATCTCTTGTTAAATTTGAGAGAACAAAAAAAGAGCATCTATGAAATGTGTCCGTTCAAGATGTGTACCAATTCTGGATGAGCACATTGTTGGCACACGGTACAACATGTATAACAAAATTCAGGTGCAGGACCAGAAAACAATTTGTTGTAAAAACCCCTTTGCAAAGGATCCAGACCCATAATGGAAGAAAAATATTTTTTTTTGTTGAGAAAATAGTTGTAGACAAGATTGTTGTAGCAAGAGCTCCAGATGCATTGCCTCTGAAGAAGGCTTTTGGAAATACTTTGGACTTCAACCGAATTCAATAAAATTCATTATAGAGAACCCCTCTGTGACACTACAAAGGAACCCTATGGGACAGAAGAAACATGTTTTATGCAGAGAAAATAATTTGTTGATAAGATTGCTGCTGGAAGAGTCCACTTAGCTGTGTTTCAGTGAATTAAAACGGCTGATAAAATTTAATGAGTAATTTATTTGAAAACTGCATGATGTGTGGCTTTTAAGTTTTCGATTATATATCAGATTTGACTGCATCCGGAAATAATGATTTCAATTTTTCAATGCATAATTTTTGAATTTTAATTGGGTGCCTGCTCTGTTTGGAATTTTTGGAAGGGTAGAAATCCTGAATCTGTAAGCATTTTTCTGTGAAGTTCACTTGTCAATGATTTGGTCATCTTCAAGAAAATTGGTGGCATGCAGATTGGGATAGTCTTACGTAATACAGTACATTACATATATATTTTCTAAACTAAGACATGGGACAACACTTCAATGAATATACTGTACTCTCAAGTGATTTCTCTTCAGCCTCATGGCTGAAGACCATCAACAAGTCTCGTGGAGATACCAGATTGGTGCTTAAAGGAGTGTGTACCGTACTGTATTCGCAAAATTTTCAAGTTATTCCCTCACCACCAAAATTTTGCAATATACAGTACTTTTACTGTGGTTCGAGATGGGCTGATTGGGAAAGGTTTTTCTGAAAACATAATTTATAAATCCTTCTGAGTATAGCTTTTTTCCCAGATACTAAACAGTCCAAGAACAATGTCAAATTTTGCTGGAGCCACATTAATGAAGACTATTAAGGAAGAAAACAGATCCTTCGCGACATTTCCTCTGTGGAATGCTTTGGCTGTCTTTATTACCGGTCAATTGGTCATATACAAATCCTGTACAAATGAAACTACAGTATAAAATTGAACATTCACAAAACGTGACTCGATTAACTCTGGAAGATTGGATTTTCGCCAAAAGCTTGAGCTTCTTGAAAAAACCACAGCACTTCTGAAAAATATGGTGTACTCTACAAGATTGTTGGTGTTGACTTCATACTGAATCAGGAAAGTCTTGATGAGAAGGATGTGACCCACGGATGATGGTCGCAGTGAGTGGGTTCGAGATTTCTTCCATGGATCCATCGAATTGCGTATTTGGGCCCCAAATGGATCATTCAAAGTTGAAATGTTACATCACTTCTGCCAAAAGTCGTATTACTGTACTGTTGTTTCAACAAACACTCACAAACTTTATATACGAGCCTATCATTCCCGTTTCCACGAATTCCGTTCTTCCCATTAAAAAATTAGCTGCCGGAATCAGTTTCATCACAGCAAGTTAAAACGCGCTGATGGATTCAGCTTCTTCAGCCGAATAGTCTTTCCTTATCGTCTGACGGCATTGGTGAGCTCTCCGGTTTCGTTCAAAGAAGTCATGCGTCTCTGCGGAGGAATAAGAATGAGTTTAACTACGTAACACGAGGGAGAAATTTAAAATTTCGAAATTGTTACATGTTACATCAACATTGAGTCGAACAGAAATTATAGCTGCACTTCAAGAGATAAGCATGATTGAAATCCGCATTATAATTTGAGATTGCTGTAAAATGACGCAAAAAAATTCGACGCGCACGCAAACGGAATCCGGTTAGCCACTTGAATCGATCGATTCAAGCGCTTCATCGTGTCAGGCAAAGCCACCCGACACTACTGTAAGTAAAACTCGAAAGGCATTTGTACGAACAGCACCTATGGTCCGTTTTTCGCTTGATCGCATCGATCCTTACTGCCTCTTTTGAAAGTTACCCTTTTGTTCCACAAGTATCACGATAACATAGTTTCGGGAATAGGTCGAAACGAACACTCCTTGGACGTTAGACAGCTAGGATTTGATGAACGCGTTCTCATATTTGCGATCGGTTCACTATCTACTGAACTCTGATTTTTCTCTTCAACTTTTAGAGCGATTTAAATCCGAGAATCTCACATCAGAATTCAAAAACTTACATTGATCCGTTCCTTCTCCATGCAAGCAAATTCCGATTCATCCACATCGTTATAACAATCACTCCTGTATTTCCGTGGAAGTCTCTTCCCATGGAACTCGCACAATTTGTCCAATGGTCGTGCCTTCACGAACATATTGTCGACGGTCGTGGGCTTCTCTTGTGGGCAGTAGAAGACATCCGGTGTCTCTTCACTGAACACAATGCTTTTCCTCATCATGTCACCACCAGATACCACTCCAAACTATGAAGAAAAAAAAAACATGCATATGAAAATCATTCCCTCAAGAAATAAATTTTCACTCACCAGAGCTGCGAGAAGGAAGCACGAATTCAGGCACCGGTTCACTGGTGAGGAAAAATTTGCCGGGAAGTGACGATTAGAATTCAATTGTACATTTCTTGATGACTTAGTTTCGGAGACTTACTCTTCAGCATGGGACGCAACCGCGCACTTTCGAACACCTCGCACTGATTGACAATATTTCTGCCTGTAACATACGAATAGACAATCGTTACAACTCCAGCGTGCTGAAGACACTCCCAGCACTTCCTACGATTTCAAAACCCACTTGAACAAGATTTTTCTCCCTACCGCGCAGGTGCACCATTTGAGCGTTCAACACCTGTCTAGGAGTCCGAAACGAAGCACTCTCACTTTCCAAGTTAGGCATGGCCGCTTCCAAGAATGCTTTGTCTGCCGCCCACACATTTGACCGCCGAAGCACTGCAGCTGAAGGACATCTATGAGGAAAGAGTGGCTTCAAACATCAAGAGTGGTGGATTACACAATAAGACCCTACCCCATCAAGGAGGTGCGAGTTGACGACGGAACCACTAGGGGGCGTTAGTTGGAAATTTGCCACAAGCTGCGCGACGCATTGATTGTACGAGGGTTCTAACAAAAGTTCTCGGAGTCAACCACAAGCCATTGCCGGAGGTGGATGAACATTTTTTTATTCGATTCCTCATCCTTTTTTAGCCTAGAACCAATTTTTTTGTCATCCCTAGACAAAAATGGAAACTGGGAAAAAAAATTGAATGAGTTTTTTCTGGTGATGTACCCACCCATTCTAACAGAAGTTCTTGGAATCAACCACAAACTGTCACCCGAGATNCATTCCAAGAACTTCTGTTGGAATGGATGGGCACAGCACCAGAAAAAACTTATTCAATTTTTTTCCCAGTTTCCATTTTTTGTCTAGGGATGACAAAAAAATTGGTTCTAGCTTAAAAAAGGATGAGGAATCCAATAAAAAAATGTTCATCCATCTGAGGTGATGGCTTGTGGTTTACTCCAAGAACTTTTGTTAGAACCCTCGTACAGTACTACAGTGAGATCCCAAAATGAGGACGCCCTCATGCCCCGACATACGGACGATTCAACTCGGGACACTTGAAACCTTAAAAAATCTGACCCAACATCTGGACAATATGTTGACATACGGGCACTGCATGACCAAATGTTTCTGAGCACATTTTGACTTTTTTTTCTACATTTTCACTCTTTCTTGAAGAAATTGAGCCATTTTATTTTCCAATACATTTCCTATAGAAGTTCATTTGAAAATTCATAATCACAAAAAGGCTACTTTTGTGCATCTTTCAGTTTTTTTTTCTAGCATATATGCAGCATATATGCATATTATGGCAAATGCCTCTGCTTCTTCGTTGATTCTTGAGCTATTCTTTATACTGATGGTAGTACAATATAGTGCATTGTAAAAGAATTGTTGTAGTGGTACCTGTATAGTTGTGGTGGGAAGAACTTTTCTTGATAGTGGAAAGATAAGCATTTACATTTTTGGGTTGTGGTACCGCCAATTTTGGTGGTGGTCTCAAAAATGTTTAAAAATATCTACCACTGCTGGGCATTCTTCCAACTGTGATATTTTCCATTGTATTCTGCAAAAATGGGCATAATTTTGGTGTTTTATAGAAAAGCTAGAGATACTAAATTTTTACAGCTTGAAATTTTTGGAAAACAATACAGTACTGCTTTCCATTTGGATTATTTTAGGGAATAAAGCAGGTCTCTACTTTATTTATTGCTTATATTTTAATTTTTTGAACTGGAAGGAGTAATTGTTTCTCAAAGTGAGGAGGATGCATCCCCTGCTTTTCTGGTTTCTTTCCATCCTTATGGGGCATCAAATATCCCTTCAACCAATTGTTTGCAGAAGGAAAATTAATTTTCTTCTTAAAATCAGGAAATTTGTTCCTAATTTTTCTCATCTTCCAAGTCTGAAACTTCTTCCACAGGTCCACCCACAATTCTTTGGAAGCTTTTTTCACAAAATGGGGATATTACATGAGATATTACATTATTTTTGTTATCCCATCTTTCAAAGAATTGTATGATACTCCAGCAATGAAAGTGTGATATGTGATGCTCCAGCAGTAGGATGACAATAAGAAGCCAGTGAAAGGGGGATGGAGTATCCCACTCCAAAAAAAAATCCCACTCCGAAAAAAGTCAGAAAAAGTATTCCAGCTCTTAGATTTTTATTAGATACAGTACACACATTTTCATTAGAATAATTATTTTTTTTGTGTCATATTTTTAGATATCCCTTGTATCAGTCTAAAAAAACTAGATTTGGCATCACATTCAATGTTCAAGAAATTATAGCATCAATCACATGAATATATTTTTATGATTTTTGTTCACATTCTTGGGAT